GGTTACTTGTTACCTGGTGGAAAGAACTAGTGCGGAGCACCATTGGCCGAGAAAGTAACGGCCTCGAAATAGAAACCGATGGACGACAATCCGCGTCAATCAGGGCCCGGCAAAAGAAGGGAGAGAGGAGCAGCCAAGATGAGGGGCCAATAGGATGAGAAAGTGACCTATCGACTGTCACGGGGAAACGGGCAAGCCAAAGCAATGAAAAAAGGATGAAGACTAAGGATGCATCATTCCCTCCTCCCGACCCACAGGCTAATCCACTGCCGAGCCAACGAGCTCTCCCAAGCTGCTGGCCCGGCTTTCTTGTCGTTTCTGACGGCCGGGGAGAAGCTCCAGGCTCAATTCTTAGCTGTTGCGGATACCAGTACTATGCAAGTAGGGTTTCGGGGTGATCACACAAGAGAGACATGGCCAAGTCGAGCATTTTCGAGCATTTCCTACTAGGTTATGAACTTACTAACTCGGTCGGTTACGCGGTTCCATGGAACCAAATCGATATCGGATAACAACCAGCCAATTGCCGATAGTAACATCGAGATCACAACAATTGGAGCAACAAGTAGAGCTCCTCAATTCTAGTCGCACAATCTTTGCGAAGGGATTCACATGTCTCACCTGATGACCTACCATGTGTACTCTATTCTGTACCTGCAGTCCAACCCTGTCTGCAGTGCAGCAAGTGAAGTGTGCAACTGTGACGGCGATCCAGATACGTAGTAGTTCTGTAGGGCGGTGACTGATCTCCTATCCTAGTTGTTAATGAAACAAATTACACACCTACGTCAGTGGTAGACATTCAAGTCACATTGAAGCTAGCATCTCCAGATTGCCTGTGCACAGATTTGAGGGAAGTTATTTGTGGCACCGGATTATCTACGACGCAAGGGCAATCGCGCACAGCCTTAGTTACTACCACTTACCCCCGCCTGTGCCCGTATCCACCACCGATCGATATATAAAACCACGCTTACAAATGCATCATTACATAGGCTCATGAAACTCATAACTAATAATGATCTCCATTGCTTTCAAGACACGAGAGAACTAGATGCATCATGCATTGTCTACATTCGGCTTATAATTCCGCAGGAGTAGACAGATGGCTTACTTAGCCACCTGATTATTGATTCTCCATAGGAACCGGACCATTGCCACTCCGACGCCCACACATACATACACACATACACATGGTATGGAGTCTCCGAACTATAGCTACTACTATGAATCATGATGAACCGAGGAGTCAACCACCTCCCTTTCTCACATCTACAAAATAAGTCACTTCCAGTCACCTCCCCCCAAATCATACCCGTAGATCTTCCCTTGGCATTGTCACTACACATTCTTTGTCGTGTTGAATATTTCCTTTTGATGGCGTACGTCTCTCGAACTCTATATCCTTCATTCTCCTTCTCCTTCTCCCCCGCGCGCTCAGATACAACACTAGCCAGTTAGTACTATTACCCAAGCGAACGGACATCCCGCCTAAGAAAACGGGCTGATAACTATCCATCCGACTATCTATCAGGCAAAGAAGCAATTCAATTCAGATAAGCAAGCATGCAGATAGACAGATATCTGTACGATGTATCGCGAATCCCCCACACGGCCATCATTCATTAGTGCATACATACATATACATACGTACCCAAATATGAGCCGATGAGGGGCGCAGCGCGATATTTCCTTCTGCCGCAGGAGTCCGTCAGCTTGGTTCTCGGGTCTGATCGCCACGATTTGATCGGGGTGCGCATACATGAGGAGGGGAAGGACTTACTAGTTTGGATCTCGCATGCATGGTTAGTTGGGAGGTGATAGGTATGAAGTCAGTACGTAGTACTGTAGTAGGAGTAGTAGTAGTAGTAGTAGTAGTAGTAGTAGTAGTAGTAGTAGTAGTAGTAGTAGTAGTATGTCTAAAGTAGGTCTAGGTCTAGGTCTAGTTTGTATGTAGGCTAGGTGGTGGTGGTTAGTGTTACAGTGCGTAATGCCAGATCGAGTAACTCTTCCTGTCGGAATGGAGTCCGCGTCTTCCGTTAGGTTTTTTTGTTTTTGAGTGACGCTTACACGGCGTATAGTAGTTCCCGTGTCGATTAGGTTCGAAGTCAGACGAGGAACAAAGACATCCTGAGACGGGATGAATGAAGTACGACGCCGGTTTTGGTGCTACTGCTACTGCTACTACGACTTGGTTATTATTACTACTACCCTGGCCCCCCATTTCTAAGAAGGGAATGACAGGTCGTAAACGGATGATTTCCGACTACTTCCCGTGGTACAAAGGAATGATCATCAAACTATATACTATGTGGGCTTTAGGCATGAAGCCGGCGTTGTCCCACAGGCACACACACACTCACACACACAGCAGCCGTAGATAGTTAGTTGGTTAGTTAGTTAGCTCGAAGGACGTGCTGACTGCTGACACCCGACCGTTGATGCCGGCAAGCTTGAGTCCAGACCAAAGGAGCGCTAAATCCGAGTGGGAATTTCCCGGATGGGTTTAGGCTGACGGGTTAGTTGAGGGCAAAGCGGTCATCCTTTCTCCAGGATCCCCTTTCGAACAAAGGGAGTCCTCATTCAGGCTCAGCTGGAGGACAAGGCTTGTTCATCCGCCAGGTCTAGAAACAACACGTGCCCGTCGCTGTATGCGGGACTAATTTGGTGAGGGGTTAACTTGTAAACTAAACGAGGGTCAGTGCTACTTCTTCCCTGTCACCTTGCCTTAGCGAGTGTATATATCTCCTTGGGTTTCGAGGAAGTCGGTTTGCAGATCCCACGGTGATCAGATACCACAGGGCTCAGCTACGAACAATGTGGCTAGGACCGAGGAAAGGCCAACATCAATGCATCAGCCGTTCTGGAGCCAGAACATCAAAGCATACCCCGAAAGAGGGTGTGATTGTGTGCTAGGCAGGCAAGTATAGTATGCGCCTAGACTAGCAGCAGCACAAGAACGACAACGGGATCTGCTCTGGCTCACACATACTAGAACCGAACAGGACTGACTCCGAAATTACTTTGACCTCATTAAATCACTCTGGCGGATGGCAGGCCCAGGAATCCCCACCGCTAGGCACTAAAATTGTTAGATTCCGTCTCTCATCCATCGCCCGTTGTTAAGGACGGGATGCTCGGTGTGAATCACTTCCACTGCGACAGCTCTTCCCCCCACATAGGAAACCGCAGCAACGCGGGACGGCTCGAGTCACAACTGAACCTGAGCCCGCCCAAGGCTAGCCGTGTTCTGTTCTAGTCTTTCCCCTGTGCCGGCGGAACGGAATGGATAGGAGGCGTTCCCTGGATGAACGCGGATTAACCGACCGCGTCGCGTCGGGAGGGAGAGACGATCCGTCTGTCGCGGGCGTGGATGAATGTAGGGTACGTATTCAGTAGGGTCGTGAGTAGGGATCGTGTAAGTGACCCGATACCTAACTAGCTAGTAGCCTTATCGCTTCAGGGGAATAAGGAAGGGGGAATTCCACGGTGTCTGTCTCCTTTGGGAGGAGGCAGTTGTGTCTTTTCTTTCTTTTTTTCGTGCCTGCGCCGCTGCCTGAGATCTCAGGAACCCTCACGTGTCGGATGATCAGGTGGTTTGAAAGATATACTTTCTTCATCACTTCCTTGGATTTCATTTCCGACCATCACATCACACTGATCGTCCTCCTTGCTCGATCTTGCTATTCGCTTCTTGTACTATCTACTCGTCTTGCCATCCGTCCACGAGCAATGTGCCACCGCCGACTCTTCCTCCTGCCTGACTGCACATCCGCCAATAATCCCTTTACCCTTCCGCCCCATCGGCCCACAATCGAGCACATCTGGATCTTCGGTCGCTAATGGAGACGTGAAACAGAGCGAGATGCTATTCCCATGGTACGCTGTACTCGCTACTCAGTCTGCGGAGTATCGGCCATCTATCTGAGAACCCGTGGAACCGTCCTGCCGACAGAGCATTAACTGGATCAATCTGATCGAGTCGCAAATGTGGAGCCCTCTTCCGATAGTCGAGATCGAGTGCGCGCATCTGGTCTACGTGACTGCTCGTGGCTTGGAGCACACACCAGCAGTCACTTTGACAGGATCTGGCTCCTCGTGCGTCTAGATCGACGGCCATTGTATCCTGGCTCAATGTGCATGACAGCGCACGCTCGACTGGCTGATCTGATCCACAATGACTCCTACACTGACATTTCCGCCGACAGCATATCGAGCACGGAGTAGATAGATCAACTTCATGCTCACTGACACTAGGATGGCCAAGTCGCCGACAACGCACAGCAGACTAAGTGGATCCTCATCGCCAATGATACCTCTTCAGACCAAAGAGCGAATTAGCGGTATATCCTTCCAGCCATTGCCCCGTGCCTCTCCACTCATGGACTCAATGCCTTGATTTCACACGAGCGCACGGCCATCCGAGGAACCAGAATTAGCATCATACAATACCTCAACAAAGTACGTTCTATCTTGCTTTTCGGAAATGGAACGCTTCGTGCATTACCGCTCGCCCGCGCGATTAAATTCTTCAGGGACCTGCATGTAGCCTGGATCCAACTAGTAGGTAGCTATCTGTTTTCTTCTGTCGTGGCGTCCGGACTACTTGGTGGATGCGTCGTCTAGTCTTACAGTGAGGCAGGATTTTCAGAGGCATGCATGATATAGCGGGTGGAGGCGCCAGGTTGCCTAGACAGGCGGTTCAGCTCCGGGATCAGCGTGCGATCCATTTTCTTTTTCCTCTTTCGTGAGGGACTAACCGATTGGTAGCTGTCAGTTTGCTCTAGCCAGTGCCGGTCGCACTAGCTTCATTCACCGAGCCACGGTGATCCATTGCTCGACCATATTAGCGTGTGTACGGAGTAATTGAAGTCGAGCATGGAACACTTTGTCTCTACTAAGGGTCGCTTTGACATCACAATCTATAGGAATTAGATTAGACCTTCGGGAGGTCGGGAAGCCAAGCACGAGCCATATATTCCCGACGGCTTATGCCTAAGCTACGTGCTCCAACTATCCGACCTCCAGGTCTTCTCCGCAATGGGCTAAAGGTTAGTGTCAGCCTTTGCGGGTGATTGTTTGCGACTGGGAATGTAAGACCGCAATGTTACGCCGCAGGATAGCCCGAAGAAGAAAATAATGTGCGCTGAAGAATAACCCCTCTGCCGCCACTGCCACGCCAGCCGTGTCCCATGAAACCAGAGAAGGGGCAAATGTCCGCCGACTATTGATAGGCCCAGAAGAAGAAATACCGACGGAGAGACGCCGCATGTCGGTATGTGAAGTAGGTCGGTGCCTTCTGTCGGGGACCAACTTACCCAAACCAGCAACACTATCGGGGGTCCCTAGGAAGAATTTGCAGATTAGACCCATGCTAGAAGAACAGCTACTGCAGTAGGTGCATGCCGGCAAACAATATAAAAAAAAGCACGAGCCATTCATGATGCCTCGCTCACTTCCCAACACGGATAAGCAGCCTAGTGCCATGCACGCTAACCAAACCATGCAGCTTTACTCGTGGGAATATTTTCGCCCCGGCAGCCAATGATCGCTTCGACGCGCACGTTCTTCTGCCCTTTCACGTGCGGTGTGACTTGACTGCATTGTCACATCGGGTACTTTCTATTTTGGCAACCAGTCGTGTTGCTGCGGGATGAAAGTACCCCCAGGTACCTTGTACATGAGGCTGGCATATGTCAATGCTTGTCAGGGCCTAGGCTACTTGTCCATTGTTTGTCCTCGGGCTGAAGAACCCTCTGGCTCATTCCGACAGGGCTTCATTGTTTGCTTTATGCATGAAGAAGGGCTATTCACCGCTGTCTGGACCTTTGATCTCCGTATTCAATAATGCTGCCATTTTATTGCTTGTGATCGGGCAGATGTGACGCGTCGCGCAGCCTATACCTCGGATGGTTATATGTCTGCGTGCATGCCTCAATATAGGAACAATTATTGCAAGCATATCATTCTACTAAAACGCGACTGCGGACCTGCATGGTTATGGACAATATTATGTGCCACTATAGAAGATCATCGTCCTCCACGGACGACAAAATATATTTGCAGCTAGGAGGAAGAGACACATCCACATGTGTAGTCTATACCAGTCCTCACTTTACTAGTGAAAGAGTATAGTGTTGTTAATATATACTCCTCCTACTATTAAAATAATTAAGCACTGCCACCAATTGAACCCAAAATATATTATGCGATAGTATATCCCTGACCAACCTGCATCGTCGTACTTCACCCCCCCCCCCCCCCCACCCAAAACCTACACAGTAGACACGCAACAACAACCATCGCTCCATCCAACCTCTACAAACCTGTTAGTATTGAACAAGAATAAATCATAAAATCTTGTGCATGTTCCTTTACATGAAGAACCCAAAATCTAGTGCCAGGAATATCCATTACCAAATGTAATCCACACTTCGGTAAAGAGTCAAGGAAGGAAGCCCGTGCAGATACAAAGTAAACCTAACTGGTACTAAACAGTCTCTTCCTCGCTTCCTTTATAGCATGTACTGTACTATCATCTTGATATAATGAAGATGAGTTAATGTTATGGTATAAGATCAAAATCTTAGTGTATGTAAAATCCTACGAACTTAGCGAAGTTGAAGTGTGCATACTGTGGTCATGATATATATATATATATATATAATACTAGTAGCACATAGCGTAAACTATTGATAACATAGATATTCCCGACCTGGAAGTAACTAACAGAACGATTTTGAAATATTTCACTTATGAACACTAGGTAACTATTCAACAGTACAAGTAATTGGGGGTTATATCTCACATCCTATACGTCTTTCCGCTTACGTTGGCTATTATTCAGAACGGATCCAAACCTGGAGTAGACATTCGTGAAAGGCTTCTGGGATGACTGATAACAGAGATTCCCAGCTGCAACAGATTGAATGATAGGTTGTAAAGCTATGGATTGTCGAGCAAACGGAGTATAGGAACTTGCAGCATGGATGAACCGCGTAGTTAGCTGACATTAAGATCCAAAGTGGAGAGAGGTGCTTGATGTAAGGATGGGTGGGTGTCTAGTGAGGTGGCAACGGACAAAAGCTGATTCAAAAATGATATCTACACTTGCTATAAAAGATGAAATCAAAACACAGACACGACAATCACTTGTGCTCCTTAGATTAACTCTTCCTGGTAGATATAAGAAGCGAGACCAACTCATCCTTATCCACGTCCTCTCGTGGATTCCTCTTGGCGGCTTCAATGTGCTTGTCAGTGACAGGAACACCAGGATAATCCTCGAAGAATATCTCAACTGTATCGAAACTTGCTCTTTCCACGATAAACTCGACTGCTGCCTCAGTGGTGGGTAACGGTATCCGGTGCTGCATACAGGCTCGGATGAATTCGTCAAAAGGGCGATACGAAACACAGTCTTGCCGGGGCAAAGATGGAAGCATCTCCAGCATTTGAGTCGACACTTCAAAGCTGACATATCGTAGTAGAGCTCCTGCTGCCTGCGCCAAAGATGCTGGGTCGATTTCAGGATCCTGCCATATTGCTTCCCAGACTGCGCTAAGGTTGAGGTCACGGCGCTGTTCAAGAAACAATTCGAGAGCCCTGATGTTGTGGTTTGCCTGAAAGATGTTGTTATTCTGAATAGCATAGATCAGGATATCCTCTGTAATCGGCACAGCTTCTGATCCCAGTCGATTGAGGAGTACGCGTATGACAGATTTGGGACGCCACCCCAACAATGAAGATTTTACCACTTCTTCTGTAATCAAAATTCGGTTGTTTTGCCTTTCGAGCAGGATCTCCATTGCATCCCGGTCTTGTGAAATTCTGGCAATTGTTTTTGGTGTCACAGGAAAGTCCGGATCTCTCTTGTGAATGACCTTTAGGGTATGACTATTGCTAGTGACTGTTTCCATCAGCCATTCATCCACTTCCACAAGCCGCCGGTCGAGAAGCTTTCCCAGCACCCTTCCACTGCGCATGTCTCCGTCTGTTGCTATTTTCTGGATCATCCGTATAATTGGAAGGCAGTCACACCGTCGATCCAATAGCAGACTCATGGAGTTAGGGAGAGTACATGCCGCTTCCAGCAGTCGATCAGTTACCGGAATATTTGGCCATCTCTTCAAGATGAATGCGAGTACATAGTCCGCTGTGGAAGAACCTATATCGGCAACAGATAATAATGCATCTTCTGAAACCGGAAGACTGTGGCCCAGGAGATCATATAGATATCTAACCAAGCTCCGTCCACGCCAATGATTATCAGCTACAGAGCGTAATGTCTCCTCTGTGATGGGGAGACCAGAACCACCGGTATTGTTCACCAGAAGCTCCAACATTTCCTGATCGTGATATCGAGCAGCGTCGCATAATATTTGCTCAGTGACCACAAATCCCGCTTGTTGTCTGCACAGGAGCGTCTTTATCATTACCACCCCTTGGTTATGGTTTTGCACAATTCTCTGAATAATCTCATCATCAATGATGGTGTCCTGCCCACACTCCTCAAGCAAGACATCCATGATTTCACTGCCATTTGAGCCGTTTCCTGCAGCGGCTAAGAAGATCTCTCTATCAATGATTGATCCCGGCTCTCGTCTGGCTAGAAGTAGTTTCACTGTCTGTGGATCGCATGCAGACCTGGCAGCAGAAATGAGCACTTTCTGGGTGACTCGGATTTCCTCGCCACGCTCCTGCAGAAGCAGCTCCATTGTTTCTTTCTTTCCTCTCGCAAAAGCTTCAGTCCATTCCTCATCCAGTTTGATATCATGCTTCACCCGCTTTTTCAAAATGGCAATCATGGCACCAATATTCAACGGAGACACACCCTGCTGCACCAATGATGGGGTAAGTCTTATATCCGCGTCACACTTTTCTAGAAGCAAGTGCATGGTTTTGTTGCCGCAGTGTAAATTTTCCAGCACAGCTCTCAGCAAATACTTAGTTATTTTGAGGCCTATTTTCTCTTTCCGATCGAGAAGGCAGCTCATTATTATATGTGCCGACATCCAATTTTTGGCTGCTCTCTCAGCTAGTCTCCCATCAATAATCTTAAGCGACGCTCTTGATTGATCATGCAAAGCACCCTTGTCCCAAAGCAGGTCTAAAATCATTGTTAACTTCTCTTTGTCGGACTCGGTGGCGCGAATAATCCTCAGCATGCGTTCAATCACTTCTCGTGGTATTTCATCCACTTTATCCAGCAACAACTCTAGAACCTCCAAATGGCCTCCACGCGCAGCTGCTAGCAATGCGTTGCTCCGTTCAACAAGCCCTGAGCCCATTGGATTTGCACCTTTTGCAAGCAGCGTCTCAACTGTCGGTTTGAGTCCTCTTCGTGATGCAGACCACAAAGGCGATTGCAGTTCCCCGGATGATTTACGCCACACGTAATTGAATTCAACAGAAATCAAGCGAATCCAGTTGAAATAGACATCACGATCTGTGAACAGGCGGTCAACCTTTTTCTGGAGGCCCGTACCATTGGCGTATAATTCCCCTACTCCTGCCAGATGACGACCCCAATATCTCGCAGCGTAGATCAGTAGTGGCTGTCGTAAGGCGGTGGTCTGGTTTAGGATCTCGGTAGTTTCGAGCAGACTGTCGATCGTTCTAGTTGCTATGGCGTTATGACCAGAAATGGCCGAGAATTGATACCAGTGACCCTCAGCTTCATTGCGTACCAGAAACTCTTTCACGGAGAAATGAGCCAGCCTCACAGTATCATCGGAGATGTTCACGGTAACTAGAGAAGTAGTACAGGTGGTCACAACGTCTTCTGGGAAGCGGAAAGACACAACAGCCGCGATAGTCTTCAGATTCAGCGGGACGGCAGAGAAACTAAGCCAGATCAAAATTGTGCGGGCTGCTTCCCGATCATCCGGTGATATCCTTTCAAGGGTATCTTTATAGGTGTCCTCGAGTGTGACTGGGATGGAATCAAGAGCCTTCTGGAATGCTTCCTCGGTTTTGGACTTTTCCAGCCGCTTTATCTGCAAATCAGCCCAGCGAAAGCGCCTGTTCGATCTCACATATTAATCGTACTGTACATATTTGCTGACAAGTTGAACATACCGTTCCGGAATATCAAGCAATCTCTCCAGAGTTCGTTTCTTAAGCGACTCGCCCCATTCACACAACCTGCCATGGGCAACTTGAGCACGGACGAATGTTTCTACATCTCCACTCAACCCAGCCTCCAGATCCATCCTTTGATATTGTTCCAGCCTCGAGCGTATATCGGGCTCTGGCCGACTGGTGGCAAGAATGTGCAATTTGGTTTGGTGCTTTTCTAACAATTCCTCAAGAAACGGCAAGAGCGAGCTCCGTTCGTTATCCCCAGTCGCGGGGCACTCATCCAGAGCATCGAGGATAAGGAAACACTCACCCTGAGAAGCTTCAAGCACATCGTCGAGGATTTCTGCAAGGTTTCGCTGTTGGGGCTTACTACCTCGGTGACAATGTTCTTCCCAGAGATTGATTATGGATCCGGGAAGTATTGGCGGCATGAATTGTCGCAGTATGGACCTGATCATGTTGTACATCTTCTGTGTTTCGTCATTGCTGAATTGAAAGTACCAGTAGGCATAGTTCCTGGAAGTGTCAGACCTACAAAATTCCTCGATATCTTGAATGACTGTAGAACAGAGAACCGATTTTCCGCAGCCGACTTATATATAGAGTTAGTTTTGTTTTCATGAAGATTAATTGAACGCACCTGCTCCATAAAGCCAAAATAACTTTCCGGGCGTGAACTTCCACTTTTCATACCCGGGCATGTTCAGAAACCAGTTTCCCGTTTCTGCTGCCCTGCGGTTTTGAGTGTTATTCTGGGGATCTGAGTAGGATGCCGTGGACAGCCAGTCGAGTATCTCTCGGTCCTGCAAGCCTGCTGCTATTAGGATATGCCCTTCTTGAAAGAGCAATACTTGGCAGTTATCTTACTTCTAGTGTGCGACTGGATAACCTTCAGCCTTTCAATCGCCTCGTCTATACCGTCGAGCATGCTTTCGGCTTGTTTCCTGTGGTCTGTAACGATGAGCAAGACCTCAAATGTTGATGATAGCAAGCGGATGGTAGTAATACCTAGAGCTACCGTAAGATCTGCCCACCTCAAAACAGCCTGCTCTTTTTTTTCGACAGTTTCCTTGAGCTCCTTCAGCGGCTCCTGAACAAGGGCCCTAATACTTTCTCCCACGCGGGCTCTCAAGGTATCAGTCTCTATGACCACATGGAGAACCTCCATCTAGACCACATACCAGCTTTGCTTTCATTTTCTGCCTTTTTTACCTCCGCCGTGTATTGCAGAATAGCCGTGTAGACTTCAACCAAAGCGTCTTCTAACCCTCGGTCGCTTTCCACTTTTCTGTCTCGATAATGATTTTCAAGGATTGCATAATAGGAAAGAATATCAGTGAGATACTCGGCTGCGTGAAAGATGTCGTCCCGACGTTCAATGTCGTTTTTGATCATCGTCAGACCAAGCGAAACAACTGACCATGCAATTGACGCTGAGCCTGAATGTTAGTAGATATGCATAGTATAGGCCGGAGCAAAAGACCCAATTAGACGACTCACGACTCACCATGACAGGTCACATCATAAGACACCAGTTTAGAGACAAAGTCCTGTGCCTGCAATGCATGGAAAATGATGTTTTTGGCGGCATCGCGGACGTTGATGTGTCCCCCGTTGCGCTTGCAAATCTTGAGCCCACCTTCCTTGTACTCGCGGTACTTCTCTTCCGTGATCTTTATGAAGTTTTCGATGGCATCCGTGATAGGTAGTGAACTCTGCAGACCGAGAGTAAGTCGGTCTTTCTCATCTAGCTTTTCTCCGGCCACCTCCCAAAGGTTTGCTCTTGCGGAGGTAGAAGATTCGGCATCTCGCGTGGACACGTCAACAACGGCATCTGATACGGCCGGATCCGGAGGGGGGTCGGGCTGTTCGGTTGCTTCTGTATGCTTCTCACGGCGATGTCGACTTGCTTTCGAAAAATTGAGTTTGAATCGTACTCTCGAAAACATTCTAAGAAATTTAGTCTTGGGGTGTTGTTGTTGCCCCGTCCAGAGTCGGACTCAGCCAGAGTGAGATGAATGAGTTGGGAAGGAACGAGGCTGGGGGGGGGGCTGAGCCCCGCTTCAAGGTATCCAGCTGGCTTGCATACACTAAAGTTGGTGCTAAGTACTACATAGTACTACTAGTAGCCTCAAGCTGAGCGGCAAGATTATTTTCTCATTGGTTCGTGTGTGGCCCACGTCTTGGTTTTGCTTTTTCTCTCCGTACTCAGAGGTGTGCTGGAATAACACTTGGAGATATACTAGCACATATACTTATATTGTATCGGTACCATTGAACGTTGAAGGCTTATTCAAACTATATCTACAGTCTTTTTTTATTTTTGCTGGTCGGCTGAGTTGGACACATTTCTCATAAAGAGGGAGAGAGAGAGAGAGAGAGAGAGAGAGAGAGAGCGATGAGACCACTTTACTGCAGGAAATAACCCAACTTAGTGGATATTAGAATGATATATACTACTACTCAAGATGACTTCGAACGCAAGTAATCTTGTACTTCACACATAATAAAAATAGCATCATCACACACCAACAATTACACCTAAAACAACCCCTCCATATCCAAATCCAAAAACTCGGGATTCCCCACCGCCATATCCGCCGCATTCAACACATCATCAATACTCGTATCCAACCCTCCACTTCCCATCCCGCCCATGCCTCCTGCTCCCCCACCACCATCCATTCCCGCCGCGACAGCATTATCCAGCATCTGGTTGATCGTACTCTCCTCTTCGTGGCCGCCTGCCCCGGAGGTATCTAGGTCCATTTGTCCCGGTCCACCTACACCAACGCCGAGCTGCATGTTCTGAATGATGTTGTTCATGTCGAGCTGCGAGGGCGGAGTAAGGGCCGCGTTGACACGGCGCCAGAGCCGCACGATGATTTCCGCGCGGAGGGGATCCCTTTCGCAGATCTTGGGGACGGAGTCGTGTAACTGGTAGAGGGCGCCGCGGGGGGTGAGGATGGGGTTACGCGGGGGGAGTTCTTTGGTCGTGTTGGTAGGGTCGATGTGGTGGTGAGGGGAGTAGGTGTTTTGGTCGACGGCGAAGGAGTCAGCCAGCGGGGCGCAGATCATGGTGGCTGCGATGTCGAGGGCGAGGTCGCTGCTGCCTGTAGTGTTTGTGGGGGAGGTGGTGGCTTGGAGTTTGAGTTCGTCGATTAGGGCGCAAAGTACGCGCATGGAGCCTTGGATGTGGATGCCTGCGATGAATTGGCGGTGGGTGTAGGATTGAGGGGCCATGCTCATGTCTGGGCTGGTGCTCCAGAGGATGAGCGATTGTAAGGTGCTGCGGATGCTGGCGAGGAGGCCGCCGGGGGTGTGGGCGGTCCAGGACTCGAGCTCGCTGCGGCGGGTGCTGCCGCTGCGTTGGAAGGAGAGGTGGGGTTCGAGGGCCTCGAGGATGGGTTTGATGGTGTCGTCGGGTTGGCGGGCGCGGATGCTCTTGAGTTGTTCTTCGAGGGAGCGCGCGGTGATGTTGAGGACGGTTCGGTGGATTTCTTTGGCTTCGCCGGAGATGGAGCTTGGGCTTATGAGGGAGTGGAGGGCTTTGAGGGGGATGGAGGGGTCGCTTTCGGATTCCCAGATGTGGTTGCCGAGCCAGTTTAGGGCGAGGATGAGGGATGGGAGGAGGAAGGGTTCGAGGAGGTCTGCGTGGTGTTAGTTTTGAGAGGGGGAGGGTAAGGAGTGTAGGACTTACATTCGAAGCCGCCCTTGAGGGTGTCGAAGTCGAGCTTTCCTGCTTCGCATGCGCTGAGACTTTGGTTGAAGAGTGTTGTCACTAGCATGTAGAATTCCTGTGGACTGCAGGCGGACATGGTCTCTTCGCTGATTCCCTCGGCCATAAATAGGGCGTTGATCCAAGACCCAAGGTTCTTGTTCTGCTTCTCGCTGAGGTCGTCAAGCTTCTGGCTGCAGAAGCCGTTCTCGAGCAGTCGCAGGACGAAGGAGCTGCTACCTCCGATTCCCATGTCTTGCGGTCGCAGATCGTATCGGAACTTGAAGGTCAGCACGAGCAGAAGAATGCTTCCGAACTCGTCGTAGACCGGTTGACTCTCGCCCTGGTCCTCGTCCCAGTGCCAGGCGTCTAGCAAAGCGCAGAGCGGTTGAAGTACTTGCTTCAAGCTCCGGAAGAGCAAAATCACGTCCAGAGCCTGCGGCCGACGGGAGAGTGAGTTGCAAATGTTTTTCAACGTCATCGTCTCTTTTTGATTGCAGAGATGGTGCATGACCTAGTTGCGTTAATCTTTGAATACAACAAAATCACCGGAGGACCTACATCTGTAATAGCACCCACTATCGCACCTGCGTTGCCCTCCATTGACTCTATCTCGTTGATCAACTGCTCTGCACGCTCCGGATTGGCATTGATCTGCGAGACGAGCTCATCCTTGTTGTAAGGGCCACCGACGGGAAGAGTCTGCATTGGATTCTCGCCCAACAGGCGCTCAATACTCGACTCGGGAATCAACTTGTGCGAGGCACACGCGAACAGGAACTCTTGTCGCACATCGGATAAGACCGTGTTGCTTTGCATAGCGAACATCTGCGAGAACGATGGGAATGTGTTTGGGTCTAGCCGGCTCAAAGCATGGCTGATGCAAAGCTCCATCGGCAACGGCAATGACACAATAGAGGCTGCCAACATGGCCGCGATGAAGGTGGGGAGCTTGTTCACCAAAAACGAGCGGAACAAGAACATTGTTCGGCTAGACTCGTTGCGGTAGCTAGCATTTGAGAGGACATCGAACGTTGCCGTTATGAGCTCCTCGATGAGAACTTGATAGTGGCCCTGCGATGGTCAGCTAGTGCTGTGATAAAGACGAAGTTCTACTCACGCCGTATCTATTCGACAAGAAATTGAGCAGCATGCTATCATCCACCAAGGGGCGGCCCACAAGCTGAAATCCAGTTAGTAACGCTCAATACAATGTGCAGTAGCTCAAATACCATCGCATTGATATACACATAGAGACCTGCTCTCGAATTAATCACAGGCCCGTCCATGACCGAGTCCTCAAACTGAAGGGCATTGACATTGACATTTTCCATCATAGAAACATCCAACGCTTTCGACGGAGGCTCTCCAAACAGATTGAACTCCTTCTGCAAGCTATCCAACCGGTTACGGAGCGGCAGGGATACTTCCACACAGAGGGGAAGATACGCCGACAAAGCCTGTCCAAGCTTTATCTTCAACGCTATCAGACCGTCAGTACATTCCAGACACCAGAGAAAAATGATGTAATACCTTCATGAGAATCCGCCGAAAGAACCTCCAACCCCTTAGCCGTCCCCGAAAGCGCCGCAAGTAGAATCCCGAGACTCTCAAACAACGACACCGCATCAGGCGAACTCATCAACCCTCCCGTCTGATGACTGGTATCCAAATGACTATTATGCCAAGCCACAACCGCCTGAATCCAATCCACTATCGACGCAAAGATACTCAACGCCTCAGCAAAAGTCTTCGAAGCAGTGCCCGTCGAAACAGAAAGCATAGCATCCTGAACAACCCTGATATCCGTCATCAGGGTATAACACTTCCGCTTCTGCTTTCCCTGCACAGCAGCAGCAGCATTCGCCTCCGAACCACCCGCCGACGGCATCTTATCATGAATAGACGAATGCTTGAGCAGCGAATTCAACATCGTCGAAGTTCGCACCAAACCCATCTTGCACAGACAGTCAATATACAAAGGGGGCAGAGGATCCCATTTAATCCCCGTTGCGAGGCGCGTCTCCAGCAATACATCGAGTAGCTGGGCTTCACCAATGGGATAGCGCTGCATCAGCAGCCGCGTGAGGTTCTTGAACTCCGCGGCATCGATCCGGTGGAGCAAACATTGTTGGAGGAATGTCCCCCATTGTTCGGAGGATGTCATGTTCCAGATATTTTCTCGAGATTACCTGGCTTTGCGCAGTGCATAGCAAGCATGCGGGAAGCTATATATTGGAACTCAATTTACACGTTCACTTGAACTCTGCGCTGATGTAGCGTTGGACATCGTGGCCTTGACCCTCCTTGTTGGCGGTTCTTTCCGGGGAAAGCTTCAACCGTTTGTTTGGACGACGTCGTGGAGGGTCACGTGGGATTAGATAAGCGGGTGTCACATGATGGGTGGTTGTTGAGGCTGATGACATTCAGTATAGAAGTATGCTTGACAAGGATGAGAGACAACCACAATATAATTAGGTGTATAAGTGTGATAGCATCTATATGTCTAATACTATGTACACACATGAGACCTATCTGTATACAAGGGACCCAGCCTTGGCTCAATGTCATGTCATGCCAGTCGATACCTGTCAGACCCAATCCCTGTAATTACAATACCATTCACGCCACAAACCATGAAGAAGTAATCAAGTCCGAGCAAAGACCAAGACCCTGTGTAACCATAACCCCATCGGACCAACTACCTAGCTCGAACATGACAGACTTCAAACTACATGAGACACAAGAAAATTGAAACCGAGTTATACCTCAAACAGCATATGCAGCAAGCAAAGGTGTTGGTGTGCTCGGACGTTCACCGTTGTTAGTCAAAGCGATCTGGCGCCAAAAAGACTACTACTACTACTACTCAAGCCCACAAATACCTGTACAGGCCAATCACGCCCACCAGATCAAGGGTAAACGGCCACGCTGGGCGCACCATCCAGGACGAGTTGAACCATGGGACTAGATTGGGGGCCCCCTTGACGGACAATTATATGTAAAAGGTTTCGATTATTGCAGAGTGGGGGATTTCTCACAGAGTACTAAGTAAAAGACTAAAGGGGGGCTGGTGAGTGAGGGAGTGAGGGAGGGAGGGAGGGTACCTAGGGCCACAGTGAGAACCACTCACTATCTTGAACCACACAATGGGACCTTGACTTTTCCTTTCTCTCTCTCGGTCCCTCCCTCCCCACTCTTAAAAAAAGAATTAAGCGACGGAATTAGATCAAATACCATGTGAGATCTTGTGTGCATCTGGCCCTGAAAGGTTTTTCTTTTTTTTTTTTTTCTGCTGTTCCCCTTGCCGATCTCCCCACCCGAGACGAGGATCTCGGAAATCTGGAAAGTGGACGAGGCTATGAAGAAAAAAAAGTGAGGTTAATCTCGACCAGATGCAGATGCCGGAAACGGTTGTCTGACGAGATTTCTCTCACACTCTTTTTCGTTCTCTCCCGGCCGAAAGAAAAAGTACCATATGTTATACGGCCGAAGCCGGGGTTACTCGGAATTGCATTTCCTTGACACATGGGATTTAATTGGTAAAATTTCGAAGTAGTAGTATTGTTGTGTGTGTGTGTATGGTAGTATAGTAAGTAGTATATGTGAAGAGTATGGAATAATATATGATAGTAGCATTAGTTGGTATAGTGATGGTCAATGCTGATTGACAGGCTAGTTAGGTTATTAATTATAAAGGCAACTATTATTACTGGAGAGTCTGTGCTGTGTTTTCGCTTTCATCAATAATGCAGGGTACTCTACAGAATCATAGCTTCTGACTCGCAATTTGCACATCTCTCTTCTAAGAATCTGCCCGGAATTCCTACCTAGTAAAGTATTAGAGTTTGCTGGGCGAGGGTCACTGAGCGGCGATCTTGCATATGTGGGTAAGAATCGCCCGTCGGAAATACTGTCCCATCGCCCGGTACGGGTCCTAGTAAGATTCAGTCCCGGTCCGATCGATGGGTGTATAGGTCCCCAGGTCGCCAGGTCGTACGTATTTTTGGTTCTTACCAGTATGGGACCTAGTTATTACTAATACTGACTATCAGAAAAACTAAGCTGTAAAAATACACTGTCTCACCAGGTGGTAAACCTGGCGAGCTTTTATATTTACAGTATTTTTACTGATTTTTACTAGAAATTCTAATTAGAATTAAAAAAATGATTGAAATTACGACCTGGGGAATTCTGGTTATATATTACTGTATAAATATCGGAATTTATTAATTCCATAAATATATTATTTAATTAATTATAT